TTTGCTGCCCTGAAAAAAAGCAAAGTTTGGCTGACAGGGAAGGGGGGATGGGTACTGGGAAGCAACCTCAGTGCTGGTCTGGCTGTGTGTGGGAACTCTCCGTGTGCATGGGGGCCTCTCAGGACACCTTACTGCAGTATCATGTTAGAATGAAGAATTATTTGTGATTCAGATAATCTTCATTTTACAAGGATATTTTCTATTTCTTTTTTGTTTTGAAAGAAAGAATCTTACCATTAGCTCTACTCCTGTCTGAGTAAAAATTTTCAGAGAAGACTTGCAACAAATTATGAGTTACTCGCACTGCTTAATAGAGCAAGTAGCTGATAGGATTTAGAAATTGAAGAAGACTGATTTTAGACAAGCCAAGCTATGAAATGAGAATGAAATAGTGATTATCTCACAGCACTGGATGAAGATCCATCCAAATAACGCTCACAGGTATTAAACGCTGTTGTTTTTATTATCATTTATCCATTCGTAAAACATTCTTCCTGAGTATCTACTTCCTGTCCCTGTTCTGGCAGGTGTTGGGGATACAGTGGCAAACAGGTGAGATGAGGCAAATACCCTCCCTCTACTGGGGGGAGGTAGTTGATGTAAGCAAACAAGTTAGGAAGCTAATTTCATGAGAAGAGAGAAAAAGAAGGCAAGAAAGACTGACATGCTCAGGGAGGTGCCTCTCGAGAAGTGATTTAGAGCTGAGAACATTTTTTCTTGAAATCTAATTCCCTAAATATCCAAATTACAAGTAAGATCTTTCCTGGCAAAAGTATGATTATTTTCTGGACAAAAATATCAATTTAATCAGATTTTCTTTAGCGGCAGTAACGTGAAGTGTTGTAGAGTTTGCAGGTTTCTTTTCCCCAGTGGATAGCTCTCTGCTAATGCTCCGCTGATTCAACCCATTACACTTCATCACGCAGGAGTTAATGCGGACATGGCGAGGTTCTGCGCACTGTCGTTTCCTGTTCCTCCTGACTCCTTCTTTGTTACGTCCTCTCTCTGGTTCTTAATGTGATAACTCTTTCCCCTGTAGCTGAGGTCATGCCTTTCCTTCCGGCTCTACCAAGGAGAGGATTACGGTGCCCATCAGGGATAGAGAGAGATGTGCAGTGATAAATCGTAAAAACATCACTTTAAACTTTAATTTAATCATGTGTATGAAACAATATTGAATAACATTCATTGAGTGGTCACTATGTGTGGAATGATGTCCACAGAATTACATCTCCACTGGCTGACAGGGGTTATTTTTTTGTCAATTTGTTTGTTTATGGGTTTAATATCCTGGATCTTTCTGCTGGTGGCCTAGGTAGTGTGCTGGGAGAGGCAGTTTGGAGGAAAGTCTATTTATATATCCTGAGTTACTTTTCCCATAGATCCTTTTGTTTACTGAATGACACAAGCCCAAGTTTAAATAAGGGACTTGTTTACAATTTTTAAATATCAGTGCCTCTGATTTATTTAAAAGTTGTTTTATGAAAAAGCTGTTTCCAAAAACTGCCTTTACAGAGAGAGTCCTCTCTCTCCCTACTCTCCCTTCAAGGCGTTTCACAGAGTTATGGGGCACAAGAAGAGTCTCTCTTGCAAACAGAACAATATTGTTCATTAAACATAATGAAAGCATATTTGAGGTTTAAATATTTGTTCTCCTGTCACCACATACTGGGACCTAGTATCAGTCAGTATTTTCATACAACATAATACACTGCGCTGTGAATTTCAAGTTGGTATATAAGCCTCTTCCCTAGACTTTTGAGCACCTCGAGGGAAGAACTGCTATGGAATGGAACACTCACCTGCTCATTCAGTGAGCGTATCCTGAGTGCTGTGCGTCAGGGGAGGTACAGGCAACACAGTGGAGAAGTAGTCTCAGGCTTGTAGCTTACAGTCTGATCAGAGAAGTAGTTGCTAAACAAATGATTGCTTAAATTTATGGTTGAGGTAAATGCTGTGTAAAATGGGGACCTAACCTCCTCTTAGAAGTTAGCCTGAGGACATGACATAAAAACTGTGACCTGGATGATAAATAGATACGATTAGACTTAGGTTTTGAAAACATTGCTCTGCTTGCAAGATAAAGAATAGATTTGGATGAGTAAAGAATGGCTATTGACATTCTCCAGGCAGGAGATGGTGATGGATTAGATTAGGGCAGGTGAAACTAGTAAAGGAATGGATTGGTAGTCAGGGTGCAGTGAAACGGAGGGGGGCCATGGGGCATCGAGATGGAGAACTTGATAGGAGAGGAGACAGTGAGTTCAGTGTGGACACGTTGAGTTTGAAATGACTTTGCCAGATGCCCACAGAGATGACAAGTGGAAAGCTGAGTATATTAGTCTGGAACTTGAGAATGTCTGGGCCAAAGGCTGCAAGCGTCTGTTACATGCATGAAGCTGCAGAAATGCGTGGCCCAGGAACAAATCTGGAGGAGGCTCTCTGACATTTTCAAGTCAACTAGAGGGGGAAAACTGGCACAGGAGATTACAAAAGAACGTTCACATGCAGAAGGAAAACTGTGAGTGTGATGTCACCAAGGCCAGGGGGCAGCAACAATGCTAGCAGGAGATAGCCAGCGGTGATTAACAACGTGTGGGTACTCAGCCGTGTGCACAGGTCATGAGTGCGAGGCAGATGAGTGTGGCTGGAGCAGGGAGCCGTGAGGGGTGGAGATACCTTCTTTGAGAAGTTTGCTGTGAAGGAGAGAAGGCTGAAGGGCAGCGCAGGGGGCGTGCGAGCCAAGGAGAGCCGGAGGCTTTTGTTTTCCCTTTTGTCTTTTTTCCATTTTTTAAATTAATTCTTTTAATTTAAAAATAGTTCTTTAATTTTAAATTTTAATTTAAAAATAGTATACAAATATTCTTTGTATACTATTAACAATTACAGAATTAAAGTTAACCTGACAACACAAAATGTTCATAGAAATAATTCTTCAGAAATATATGGTATTTCTACGTGGAAAATTTCTAGTTATTATTGAAAATATAAAAATACACCTGTCTGTATATATTGCAACATTGTTATTAACGATTTTTTATGATGTCTTTTTAAAATCTTTTTTTATAATGCCTTTTTTTTTTTATAATGGCGGGGGACTAAAGTATGTTTTGTCAAGGAGCCATTGAATTATATGGTGGCCTGCCGATCTGGAGAGTGGGAGGCAGATGGGAAGGAACCTGAGAGGTGCAGCAGGCTTTGGGGTGGGGAGACACTGACGGGAAGGAGGGAGATGACGGTGGGGACGGCAT